TTTTTATAGATAATTTTCGATACAATTTCCCTTTAATAGACTTTTTTCGACAAATTTTCTCTTTAATAGAAAATTTTCGATAAATTTTCTCTTTTTTCTTTTTTCGATAAATTTTCTCTTTTATAGAAAATCTTCGATAAATTTTCTCTTTTATAGATAACTTTCGATACAATTTTCTCTTTAATAGACTTTTTTCGATAAATTTTCTCTTTTATAAAAATTTTTCGATAAATTTTCTCTTTTAAAAAAATTTTTTTGATAAATTTTCTCTTTTATAGAAAATTTTCGATAAATTTTCTCTTTCATAGAAAATTTTTGATAAATTTTCTCTTTTATAGAAAATTTTCGATAAATTTTCTCTTTTATAGAAAATTTTCGATAAAATTTTCTCTTTTATAGAAAATTTTCGATAAAATTTTCTCTTTTATAGAAAATTTTCGATAAAATTTTTTCTTTTATAGAAAATTTTCTCTTTTATAGAAAATTTTCGATAAAATTTTCTCTTTTATAGAAAATTTTCGATAAAATTTTCTCTTTTATAGAAAATTTTCGATAAAATTTTCTCTTTTATAGAAAATTTTCGATAAAATTCTCTCTTTTATAGAACATTTTCGATAAAATTCTCTCTTTTATAGAACATTTTCGATACAATTTTCTCTTTTATAGAACATTTTCGATACAATTTTCTCTTTTATAGAAATTTTATCGAAAATGTTCTCTTTTATAGGAAATTTTCGATAAAATGTTCTCTTTTATAGAAAATTTTCGATAAATTTTCTCTTTTATAGAAATTTTTCGATAAAATGTTCTCTTTTATAGAACATTTTCGATACAATTTTCTCTTTTATAGAACATTTTCGATAAAATGTTCTCTTTTATAGAAAATTTTCGATAAAATGTTCTCTTTTATAGATAACTTTCGATAAATTTTCTCTTTTATAGATAACTTTCACTTTTGATAAATTTTCTCTTTTATAGATAACTTTCGACACAATTTTCTCTTTTATAGATAACTTTCGATACAATTTTCTCTTTTATAGAAAAATTTCGAAAATTTTTCTATTTTATAGATAATTTTTTGATATAATTTTCTCTTTAATAGAAAATTTTCGATAAATTTTCTCTTTATAGACAATTTTCAATACAACTTTCTCTTTAATAGAAAATTTTCGATAAATTTTCTCTTTTATAGATAATTTTCGATACGATTTTCTCTTTTACAGAAAATTTTCTATAAATTTTCTCTTTTTAATAAACATATTTCGAAAAATTTTCTCTTTTATAGATAATTTTCGTTACAGTTTTTCTTTCATAGAAAATTTTCTCTTTAATGGACATTTTTCGATAAAATATTCTCTTAAAAAGTTTTCGATACAATTTTCTCTTTGATAGAAAATGTTCAATAATTTTTTTCTTTCTTTCTATAAAAGGCGAAATTATCTCTTATATTTTATGCAAATACCACTTTAAGAAGATTTTCGTTAAGATTTTTTCTATATAGAAAATTTGTGAAGAAATTTTCGATTAAGTTTTCTCTTTGTAAAGTTTACTCTTTTTACAAAATTTTCTATCAATTTTAAACTCACATTATCTTTAAATATCAAATATTTTTTTCAATTAATTTGCTTTAACCATTCAGCCATATTGTAATTTTATTTAAATAAAAATATTTAATTTCCAATCCATAATAAAGTGCCTTAAGGAATTCACAAAGGCGTTCCCACCCACACATATTGAATGTGTTCAAAAATGTATTAATGATTTTTAATTATTATTGCAGTTTATTTTATTCTCTTTCATTAATTTAACTTTAAAGCAATTACATCAATGACATGAAAAATTAAGTATGTTTTTCTCTTGAATGGTACGAGCTACAGAAACACAGAAAGAAGTGATTTTAAAAATTAAATAATTTATTTTACCACAAACACACAACACACACACACACTGAGGAATGCAAAGTCATGTAGTAGTGTATTGCATTTCAGGGTTTCCAATATCCAGTTTTCTATTTTCGATAACATATTCTATTTGTAGAAAATTTTCGGTAAAATTTTCTCTTTTATAGAAAATTTTTGATAAAATTATGTTTTTTATAGAAAAATTTTGATAACATTTTCTCTTTATAGCAAATTAACGATAAAATTTCTCGTTTTCTCATTTTCGATAAAAATTTTTCTTCTTTAGAAAATTTTCGAAAAAATTTTCTCTTTTAAAGAAAATTTTTTATAAAATTTTCTCTTTTATGGAAAATTTTCGACAAAACTTCTCTTTTATAGAAAATTTTCAATTAAGCTTCTCTTTTATAAAAAATTTTCGATAAAACTTCTCTTTTATAGAAATTTTTAAATAAAGCTTCTCTTTTATAGAAAATGTTCGATAAAACTTCTCTATATATATTTTGTATTCTCTCTTTTATAGAAAATTTTCGATAAAACTACTCTTTCGATAAAATTTTCTCTTTTAAAGGAAATTTTCGATAATATTTTCTCTTTTATAGAAAACTGTTTATAAAATTTTCTCTTTTATGGAAAATTTTCGATAAAATTTTCTCTTTTATAGACAATTTTCTATAAAATTTATTCTTTTATAGAAAATTTTCTATAAAATTTATTCTTTTATAGAAAATTTCGGTCAAAATTTTACTTAAATAGAAATTTTTTGATAATAGTTTCTCTTTTAAAGAAAATTTCCGATAAAATTTCTCTTTTATAGAAACTTTTCTCTTTTATAGAAAAATTTCGGTAAATTTTCCTCTTTTATAGAAAATTTTCGGTAAATTTTCCTCTTTTATAGACAATTTTCGATAAAATTTCCTCTTTTATAGAAAATTTTCGATAAAATTTCCTCTTTTTTAGAAAATTTTCGATAAAATTTCCTCTTTTTTAGAAAATTTTCGATAAAATTTCCTCTTTTATAGAAAATTTTCGATAAAATTTTCTTTTTTATAGAAAATTTTCGATAAAATTTTCTTTTTTATAGAAAATTTTCGATAAAATTTTCTTTTTTATAGAATAGTTTCGATAAAATTTTCTTTTTTATAGAATAGTTTCGATAAAATTTTCTTTTTTATAGAATAGTTTCGATAAAATTTTCTTCTTTATAGAATAGTTTCGATAAAAATTTCTCTTTTATAGGAAAGCTTCGATAAAATTTTCTATTTACAGAAAAATTTCGATAAAATTTTCTATTTATAGAAAAATTTCGATAAAATTTTCTATTTATAGAAAAATTTCGATAAAAATTTCACTTTTGAAGAAAATTTTTGATAAAATTTTCTCTTTTAAAGAAAATTTTCGATAAAATTTTCTCTTTTAAAGAAAATTTCGATAAAAATTTCACTTTTGAAGAAAATTTTTGATAAAATTTTCTCTTTTAAAGAAAATTTTCGATAAAATTTTCTCTTTTAAAGAAAATTTTCGATAAAATTTTCTCTTTTAAAGAAAATTTTCGATAAAATTTTCTCTTTTAAAGAAAATTTTCGATAAAATTTTCTCTTTTAAAGAAAATTTTCGATAAAATTTTCTCTTTTAAAGAAAATTTTCGATAAAATTTTCTCTTTTAAAGAAAATTTTCGATAAAATTTTCTCTTTTAAAGAAAATTTTCGATAAAATTTTCTCTTTTAAAGAAAATTTTCGATAAAATTTTCTCTTTTAAAGAAAATTTTCGATAAAATTTTCTCTTTTATATAAAAGTTTCGATAAAATTTTCTCTTTTGTAGAAAATTTTCGATAAAATTTTCTCTTTTATAGAAAAATTTCGATAAAATTTTCTCTTTATAGAAAAATTTCGATAAAATTTTCTCTTTTATAGAAACATTTCGATAAAATTTTCTATTTATAGAAAAATTTCGATAAAATTTTCTATATATAGAAAAATTTCGATAAAATTTTCTATTTATAGAAAAATTTCGATAAAGTGTTCTATTTATAGAAAAATTTCGATAAAAATTTCACTTTTGTAGAAAATTTTTGAAAAATTTTTTCTTTTAAAGAAAATTTTCGATAAAATTTTCTCTTTATAGAAAAATTTCGATAGAATTTTTTCTTTTATAGAAAATTTTCGATAAAATTTTCTCTTTTTTTAGAAAAATTTCTATAAAATTTTCTCTTTTCTTAGAAAAATTTCGATAAAATTTTCTCTTTTCTTAGAAAAATTTCGATAAAATTTTATCTTCTATGGAAAAAATTTGATAAGAATTTCTCTTCTATGGAAAAATTTTGATAAGAATTTCACTTTTATATAAAATTTTTGAAAAAAATTACATTTGTAAAGAAAATTTTTGAAAAAAAATTTAATTTTGAAAGAAAATTTTTTAATAAAATTTTCTCTTTATAGAAAATTTTCGATAAAATTTTTGGGAAACTTTAGGAATAATTTTAAAATTTTAAATATTACATCCAATATCCCCAAGACTGAAATATGAAAGTAAAAAAGTGGTCTCCCTTAATGCTATTATACCTACATTAAATTAAGAAAAACTACAACATACATCGATAATCCAATGTATATCATTAATTTTAAGTACCAGAAAAAAAAGGAACTCGTTCAGTGTTTTCTGTTTCTTCTTCTTTTGTTATTTTTGCATTAGTAATGGGAAAGAAGAAATTAATACTTTAGCTCATGTCAATTCATGAAACTCCTTAATCAATGTAATTCAAGTGCTACTTAATGTAAAAACAATTTGTTGTTTCTTGTCTGTGAGTGTGTGTATGTGTGTCTCTTTCTGTAATCCAATATGCTTTTGAATCTTTTTAAGTGAAAATTTGTAAATTGAAAAATATTTGTTTACAAGAATTCGAGTGTTAAAAAAAAAGAAAACATAAAAGAATCAAAAACTAAGTGCTGTTTTTTAATGACATTCAAGAGTTTCGACAAAAACCGAAAAAACGTAACAAATGACATTAGTTTTTTGTTTAGGTTAAGAATTTTTAAATGCAATGATTTTTAATTGCTTTTAAGGGAAGAGTTTCTTTATTTATAATCTTAACACACTTACCTATAATAGTTATCAAGATCATAAGACCCAATACAACCGATGTCGCAGCCATACGTATTAATTCACCCAAATCTTCAGGACTGGTCATATTCCCACTCGCCGTTCCATTGCCAAAGGGATCGGTGATATTTACTAGATCTGCCAGCAGACTAGTATCGTTTAACATGGAATCATTGATTAATAGTGAACCTAAATCTACTGCTACATTACTAAACATATTGCTATCGGAGGAAGTTGGCAACGTAAGTGTTGATGGTGTTGACGACGATGATGCGGATAATGTCAATGAGGCTGCTGTTAGAAGAGAGTCCGAAGCAAAAGTATTACTTTTACTGCTGCTACCGAATATAGCAGTTGTGGCAGTGACTGTGGCAGCAGTTAAAGCGGCTGTGCCGCTTAAAGTATTCATTATACGACTGCTAGTGGTGACATCGTGTGTGGTAAATGATGCTGTTGTGGCAGCTGTCAGCGGTGAGGTATAAGCGGCTGATGAGATGACATATGTGTTAGGATTTTTCTCATTTGCAATGAATATATAATCCAAGGCATCTGTAAAAGAGAAGTCAAAAAGAAATATATTAAAATTTTGAGTAAAATAATTAAAAAAATATAAAACATTTTTTAAAAAAGAATAATTTAAAACTTTATCAATTATTTTCTTAAAAGCAGAAAATTTTATCGAAAATTTTCTATAAAAGAAAAAATGTTATCGAAAATTTTCTATAAAAGAGAAAATGTTATCGAAAATTTTCTATAAAAGATAAAATTTTATGGAAAATTATCTATAAAAGATAAATTTTATCGAAAACTTTCTTTTAAAGAGAAAATTTTCTATTTAAGAGAAAATTTTAACGAAAATCTTCTATTAAAGGGGACATTTTATTAAAGAGAGAATTTTATCAAAAATTTTCTATTAAAGAAAAAATTATCGAACATTTTCTATAAAAGATAAAATTTTATTGAAAATTTTCCATAAAAGATAAAATTTTTATTGAAAATTTTCTATTACAGACAAAATTTTATCAAAAATTTTCTATTAAAGAGAAATTTTTACAGAAAATTTTCTACAAAAGAGAAAATCTTACCGAACATTTTTTATGAAAGAGAAAATTTTGTAGAAAATTTTCTATAAATTGAACATTTTTACTAAAATTTTCTATAAAGTGAAAATTTTAACTAAAATTTTCTATAAAAGTGAAATTTTTATCGAACATTTTCTATAAAAGTGAAATTTTTATCGAACATTTTCTATATCGAAAATTTTCTATAAAAGAGAAAATTTTCGATAAAAGAGAAAGAGAAAATTTTATCGTAAAGAGAAAATTTTATCGAAAATTTTCTATAAAAGAGAAAATTTTATCGAAAATTTTCTATAAAAGAGAAAATTTCCTATAAAAGAGAAAATTTTATCAAAAATTTTGTATAAAAGAGAAAATTTTATTGAAAATTTTGTATAAAAGAGAAATTTTTATCGAAAATTTTCTATAAAAAAGAGTATTTTATCGAAAATTTTATATAAAAAGGATTATATTATTGAAAATATTCCATAAAAAGGATTATTTTATCGAAAATTTTCTATAAAAAGTATTATTTTATCGAAGATTTTCTATAAAAGAAAGTATTTTATCGAAGATTTTCTATAAAAGAGAGTATTTTATCGAAAATTTTCTATAAAAGAGAAAATTTTATCGAAAATTTCAAATAAGAGAAAATTTTATCGAAAATTTCAAATAAGAGAAAATTTTATCGAAAATTTTCCATAAAAGAGAAAATTTTATCGAAAATATTCTATAAAAGATAAAATTGTATCAAAAAATTTCTATAAAAGAGAAAATTTTATCGAAATTTTCTATAAAAGAGAAAATTTTGTCGAAAATTTTCATAAAAGAGGAAATTTTATCGAAAATTTCCTGTAAAAGAGAACATTTTATCGAAAAATTTTTATAGAAAGGAAAATTTTATCGAAAAATTTCTGTAAAAGAGAAAATTTTATCGAAAAATGTCTGTAAAAGAGAAAATTTTATCGAAAATTTTCTATAGAAGAGAAAATTTTATCGAAAATTTTCTATAGAAGAGAAACTTTTATCGAAAGTTTTCTATAGAAGAGAAAGTTTTATCGAAAGTTTTCTATAAAAGAGAAAATTGTCTATAAATGTGAACATTGTATTGAAAATTTTCTATAAAAGAAACTTTTGTATAAAATTGAAAATTTTATCAAAACTTTGGTATGAAAAAGAAAATTTTATCGAAACTTTGGGATGAAAGAGAAAATTTTATCGAAAATTTTCTATAAAAGAGAAAATTTTATCGAAAATTTTCTATAAAAGAGAAAATTTTATCGAAAATTTTCTATAAAAGAGAAAATTTATCGAAAATTTTCTATAAAAGAGAAAATTTTATCGAAAATTTTCTATAAAAGATAATATTTATCGAAAATTTTCTATAAAAGGGAAAATTTTATCGAAAATTTTCTATAAAAGGGAAAATTTTATTGAAAATTTTCTTTAAAAGAGAAATTTTATCGAAAATCTTCTTTAAAAGAGAAAATTTTATCGAAAATTTTCTTTAAAAGAGAAAATTTTATCGAAAAATTTCTTTAAAAGAGAAAATTTTATCGAAAATTTTCTTAAAAAGAGAAAATTTTATCGAAAATTTTCTTTAAAAGAGAAAATTTTATCGAAAATTTTCTTTAAAAGAGAAAGTTTTATTCAAAATTTTCTTTAAAAGAGAAAATTTTATTGAAAATTTTCTTTCAAAATGAAAATTTATTGAAAATTTTCTATAAAAGAGAAAATTTTCGATAAAATTTTCTGTTTTATAGAAAATGTTCTTTTTAATGGAAAATTTTCGATAAAATTTTCTATTGAAGAGAACATTTTATCGAACATTTTTCTCTCCATGAAACTGCATGATAGTTTTAAATTACAGTTCTTCCCATACTATCTCACTGTGCACTTACAATATAAAATTCATTACAAACAATAAAAGTTTCAATATAAATATAAATTTTATAACAAATAATAAAAATAATAAATAAAAAAAAAACTTTATTTATGTTTGTTATTGATAACTTACCATCAAAACTCGTTTTGCGTGCCATATTATGTGAGGCGGGCATAAAACTTCCGTTAACAAAAATGTCACTTTCCGTACGATTTGTTTATTTCAAAAACAACAAAATAAGTTGCGTTCTTCCTGGGCTCAGCAAGGCAAACAAAGCGCTGTTTACCAACAACAGCAAAAAAAAAAGCGTTTATTTGGAAAAAGAGGAATTTAATATTTTTGGCCAGGAAGTAAAACGAAATATTTGTTATGATTGAGTATGTTGTTGTTTTATGTTACCAGGTGCCAGTTAAGCGAAATATACATCAAACGTATTTGCTAAAGATGATTAAAACGATGATGACGTTGTTGGGTATTTGACACCAGAGTTTATTTTGATTTGATATTGTTTTGGTTTGTTGGTTGTAAATGTTTTTTTTTTCTCTTCTATTACTTTTGTATTTGTTATAGCAAACAAGTGTTTTTTGTGTTTAGGATTTCATTTCATTTAATTTTTTCTTTATTTATGATTATATATGTATATAATTTCGTATTTTTTAACATTTCATTTTTCACTTTATAAAAAAAAACGTAATTTTACTAATGGCCCTTAAAGCTAAACCGGATGTTATAGGTGGAAGTTGTTCATAAGTATGTGTGTGCAGGAAGAGAGGGAGTGTGTGCATGTATGTGTGTAGTTATTTGTAACGTTAACAATTGTTTATTCTAACGACTTTTTAAGTGTTTCAACTATATATTTTCTTTTTTTTTTTTTGATTACTTGTTAGCTGCGACTGCTGTTGTTTGTTGTTGGATATTTGAGCCTCCTGCTGGTTTTGCTATTGTTCTATTGCCGTTAGCTGGTGTTTCAATTACGTTTAATGTTCGACAAATTATTTCGTACATATTAAAGCAGTTTTTCTTGTCTTGTTTTTGCTTTATTTGCGTTTTTTCTTGTATAATTAGTTTTTTTCTTGTTTTATTCTCTTAATTTAATAAATTTCATATATTTTTGTATCGTTGTTTTGAGTTTTTTATTTTGCAATGTGATTTTCATTTTGTAATATTTCCACTTCAATTATGTTTATTTGCTTTATGTTTTGCCAGTTTATGCTTTGATTTCTTTGGCTTAATGTCTTTATTAAAAATTTGATATTGTTTAAGATGATGGCGAAAGTCAGGAAAAACAAATATTAAATTTGATTCAATTTTAATTCAGCAGAATTAATGTGAACCCGGTGAGCGTATCTGTATGTGTATAATCTGAAAGAAAAAAGAAAAATTTAGGAAATTAAAATGCATATTGAGGCACATTTTTATGTAAATTATATTAGAACATTAAGAATATTCAAATAACAAGAGAAAAATTTCTTTAAAAAAAGAAAATTTTACCAAAAGTTTTCTATAAAAGAGAAAATTTTATCAAAAATTTTCTATAAATGAGAAAATTTTATCAAAAATTTTCTATAAAAGAGAAAATTTTATCAAACATTTTTTATAAAAGAGAAAATTTTATCAAAAATGTTCTATAAAATAGAAAATTTGATCAAAAATGTTCTATAAAAGAGAAAATTTTCTATAAAAGATAAAATTGTATCAAACATTTTCGAAAAAAGAAAACATTTATCAAAAGTTCTCTTTAAAAGAGAAAATTTTATCAATAGTTCTCTTTAAAAGAGAACATTTTATAAAAAATTTCTATAAAAAGAGAACAATTTATCAAAAAGTTTCTATAAAAGAGAAAATTAAATCAAAAATTTTCCAAAAAAGAGAAAATTTTTATAAAAGAGAATATTTATCAAAAATTGTCTATAAAAGAGAAGATTTTATCAAAAATTGTCTATAAAAGAGAAGATTTTATCAAAAAGTTTCTATAAAAGAGAAAATTTTATCAAAAATTTTCTATAAAAGAGAAAATTTTACCAAAAATTTTCTATGAAAGAGAAATCTTATCAAAAATTTTCTATTAAAGAGAAAATTTTATCAAAAATTTTACATAAAAAAGAAAATTTTATCAAAAATTTTCTATAAAAGAGAAAATTTTATAAAGAATTTTCTATAAAAGAGAAATTTTCTATAAAAGAGAAAATTTTATAAAAATTTTCTATAAAAGAGAAAATTTTAACAAAAATTTTCTATAAAAGAGAAAATTTTATCAAAATTTTCTATAAAAGAGAAAATTTTATGAAAAATTTTCTATAAAAGAGAAAATTTTATGAAAAATTTTCTATAAAAGAAAAAATTTTATGAAAAATTTTTTATAAAAGAAAAAATTTTATCAAAAATTTTCTATAAAAGAGAAAATTTTATCAAAAATTTTCTATAAAAGAGAAAATTTTCAAAAGTTTTCTATGAAAAGAAAATTTTAGCAAAAGTTTTTTAAAAAAATAAATTTTATCAAAAGTGTATAAAAGAAAGTTTTATCAAAAGTTTTCTATAAAAGAAAATTTTATTATAAATTTTTTTATAAAAGAAAACTTTATCAAAAATTTTATATAGAAGATAATTCATCAAAAATTGTATCAAAAATTTTCCATAAAAGACAAGATTTCATAAAAAATTTGATATAAAAGAGAAATTTTTATCAATAATTTTCTATAAAAGAAAAATTTTAACAAAAATTTTCTATTTTATCAAAAGTTTTCTATAAAAAGAATTTTTATGAAACATTTTTCTGAGTTATTTTGTAACTAAAAACTTTATGCCAATCTGATTTGATGCAGTTTAAAAATCTAAAAAAAAAATCTTTAGAACGTGCAAACTGCACTTTGCACGTGCACGTTCACAGGTGCTTCACAATTGCCAACAAATATGCATTTATTTATTGAGTTGACATGTGTAATAGTAAATTATTGACGAATAACCTTTTATAGGTTTACAAGTAAGCATTTTGAACAAAACTCCTTTTCTACACTTAAGTATAAATTATAAGGGTAAGTATTGCAATGTCTTTATGCTAGTTTTGTAAACAAGTCAACATTTCTATCGTGAGTATAAATACTTTTAACATCTCAAATTTTGCAAAATTTTTGAATTTCACACTTAAGCCTTTTCCCACTTTTATGTGTATCTCTCACCACATAAAATATGGTGTTAAGAAAAGAAACAAACGAAAGAAAACACACCGAGAACCATAAAATTTTCATTTAAACTTTTACTTTTCTTTTCCTTTCCGAAACACCAAAAGAATAAAAAACGGAAACAGGTATGAAACTTCTATGTAAAAATACTTGAAAACAAGTTTCTACACGGAAACATATTTTTGAACTGTTCAGCAGCAACAAACAAGATGACTGTCAGTTTTAATATTTCATGCCACGACTACGAATAAGAGAGTTTTTAATAAGGAAACCTTAAAGTTTACATAAACTAAAGGACTAGGATTTATGAAAAGAATAAAGTTTTTGTTTGGATTTTGCAAAAGCTAAGTGCGATTACGAATTTATTTTGAACAACTGAGTAATTTGTTTAATTTTCCCATTGTTTGTTGGAGAACAATAGAAAGCGAAAACTTTACAGAACTCTTGATTATGGTGAACAATTTGTGAATTGAAAAAAGCTGATTTAGTGGAAGGAGGGTTTGAAATAA